GTGTCAGGGCCCTGAGAAGCCAGAGGAGGATGAGGAGCTGCCAGGGGAAAGCTCCATCCTCCCTTCTCCAGGCAGTGCTGGATTCCTGGGATGCTCCTCATCCTCCTCCCAGCATGGGATGGGTGAGGTCAGCATTGCTGGGGCTGAGATCTCCTGGAACTGCCTCTTTTTGTGCTGGAAAAGGGATTCCTCTCCTCTGGGAACGTGTCAGGGCCCTGAGAAGCCAGAGGAGGATGAGGAGCTGCCAGGAGGAAGCTCCATCCTCCCTTCTCCGGGCAGTGCTGGATTCCTGGCTCGGTTCTGTCGGACACTTGCTCTCTCTCTGTCTCTCTCCTGTTCTCTGAACCTCTCCTGCCTCTGTTCTCTCCTAGATGATATCAGTGGGACGCTGCCTCCATCTGTCCTAGTGGGTCCAATGGGCTCTTCCCTGCAGTCTTTCCCTCTGCCTCCGCCTCCTCCGCCCCACGCCCCAGGTCAGAGGAGCTTTCCCGAGGCTCTGGCTTTTCCCACCAGGAATCTGCGCTTTGGGGGGAGGTTTCTTGCTCAGCTTTGAGGCTTTTTTCCCATCTCTGGTGCTGCCTTGGCTGCTCAGGGACACGTGGGGTCCTGTCCAGGCTCTGCTCCCGTGGCTCTCGTTGCCCTCCGTGGTTTTTCTGGAGCTCAGGATTGAGCTTTATCCTCATGGGATTCATCCCACCCTGATAAGGAGGGTCAGCAGTGCCGTGGGAGCAGAATTCCAGGCAGGAACCCCAGCCTGTGACACCCCCCTTACCAGTTTTCCCGAGCAATTCCCCCTTTTGCTTTTGCTTCCCTTGGGACCCAGAGGGCTTTTCCTGCCCCTTTTCCAGGATGTGTTTGTCCATCCCTCCCACTCCTCCCTCTGAGACAGAGTCAGGAAGAGCAGGTGAAGGCACAAGGGATGATTCCCACTGGATCCTTCACGAGGATTTTATCCTTCTGTGGGTCCTCCTCCTTCCCTGAGCTCCGGAGCCGTGCCAGGGGCTGGGATAACTGGGATCACCATCCCTGGGGGATCTCCCCGTGGCTGATGATGGCCCTGGGCTCGTTTTTCCCTGTGCAGACGCCTTTCCCAGGATGGTCCCGGTGCGGCCTCCGGAGGGGGGGGTGGCCCAGCCCATCCCACACCTGCAGTGTCCCCTCTCCAGACCCGATTCCAGCAGCTTCGCCGCCAGCCTGAGGGAGCTGGAGAAGGTAAAGGGGCTCCTGGGACAAGGGGAGGGAAAAATTGCACCTTCAGGGTTCGATTTGGGGGGGGTTGATCATCCCCTTTGTGGGCTTGGAGCACAGGATTAGGGCAGGGGTGGGAAAAACCTCTCCTGCCTTTCCCCCAGTGAGGGGGTTGATCCCAAGCAACAGGACAAGAGGGAGCATCCTGAAGTTGCAGCAGGAGGGATATGGTGGAACAGGCATTGGAACAGGCTGCTCAGGGCAGTGGTGGGATTACTCTCCCTTAAAGGACTTAAAAACCCACGTGGAGCACTTGGGGTTGTGGGTTTAGGGGTGGCCTGGGTGGTGCTGGGGGGGAAGGGTCGGACTCGGCGATCCCAGAGGTTTTTTCCTAAATTATCCCACGGTTCTTTGAGCCCAGGAGAGCATTTTGCTGTGCATGGAGGGGGTGTCGTGGTCTCCTCTGTCCTCTGCCCACCTTTGGGGTGACGAGGGATGGGATGGTGCCCTCCCCACCCCGACCATCCGGGGGGGATATGAGGCACTTCCATTTGGGAATGCAGCAGCAGGAGCGGGTTGTGCCGTGTTTGATTGCTCACAAATCACCCTGGTTGGCGTGCCCTGACCCTCTGCCTGCTTGTTTCCCCAGTGTGGGTGGTACTGGGGCCCCATGAACTGGGAGGACGCCGAGATGAAGCTGAAGGGGAAACCCGACGGGTCCTTCCTGGTGCGGGACAGCTCCGACCCCCGCTACATCCTGAGCCTGAGCTTCAGGTCCCAGGGCATCACCCACCACACCAGGATGGAGCACTACAGAGGTGAGAAAGGGGGGGCCCAGCACCCCCAGAGCAGAGCTGGCAGCAGCCTCAGTGTGTCCTCACTCCTGTGTTGAGCTTCTGGTTTTAAGTCAGTTTAAGTTTTCAAGTTTTTGGTTTTTTTTTTTTTTTGTAGCCTGATCCTAAGCTTTCCCTGGGTTTAAGTTAGACTGGGGTTTTTTTTGTAGCCTGATCCTAAACTTTTCCTGGGTTTAAGTCAGACTGTTGGGTTTTTTTTAGCCCAGTTTTAAGGTTTTTCTGATTTTGTGTCACTGGTTTTAAGTCAGGCTTTTGGGGTTTTTTTGTAGCCTAATTTTAAGCTTTTCTTGGGTTTAAGTCAGACTGTTGGTTTTTTTTAACCCAGTTTTAAGGTTTTTCTGATTTTGTGTCACTGGTTTTAAGTCAGGCTTTTGGGGGTTTTTTGTAGCCTAATCTTAAACTTTTCCTGGGTTTAAGTTAGACTGGTTATTTTTTTGTAGCCTGATCCTAAGCATTTCCTGGATTTAAGTTAAACTGGGGGTTTTTTTTAGCCCAGTTTTAAGGTTTTTCTGATTTTGTGTCATTGCTTTCCCCCAGCGGCATCCAGGCCTCAAACCCTTAAGTCTTCAGCAAATCCCAGTTATTTGATGTAAAAGTCCAGTTTGTCCTCACTCCTGTGTTGAGCTTCTGGTTTTAAGTCAGGCTTTTGGGGTTTTTTTTGTAGCCTAATCTTAAGCTTTTCCTGGGTTTAAGTCAGACTGGGTTTTTTTTTTAACCCAGTTTAAAGGTTTTTCTGATTTGGTGTCACTGGTTTTAAGTCAGGCTTTTGGGGGTTTTTTTGTAGCCTAATCTTAAGCTTTTCCTGGATTTAGGTTAAACTGGGGGTTTTTTTTAGCCCAATTTTAAGGTTTTTCTGATTTTGTGTCATTGCTTTCCCCCAGCAGCAGCCAGGCCCTAAACCCTTTAGGCTTCAGCAAATCCCAATTATTTGATGTAAAAACCTGTCCAGCTCCTTCTTGTTAATTTTAAGAGCGTTTTTGTGGCCTTTGGGGTAATAAAAGGTGTTTGAGCTTCTTTCTTTTGCCTCAAGGAGCGACTCCCGTCGCTCTGAAAAACTGGGAGTCAAGAGTTCTTCTGGAAAACTGGATGCAAAGAAATGCTGGCAGGAGGGTTTTTGGGATCCTGTGGCACTGGGATGTGATGCACCACATCAGCACCGTGGGTGCTGAGCCCCTCTTGATGGGAAGATGTCCCAGCATGAATTCCAGCCTGTCCAGAGCCAGCTCCCTGTGTCTGGCTGCTGCCAAGAAGGAAGGATTTTCACCTCATCCTCATGGAAAGCGGGAGGGGCTCTCCCAGCTGGAGGAGTTTGAGGCTTTTCCATAACTGAGCTTGGGAGGAAACTTCTCCTGCTGCTCTCTGATGTCTCAGTTCGGGGCTGGGACCCGAGGGAACTCCTTTTCCTAAAAATCAGGAAAAACTTATTCATGGAAAGAGTGGTCAGGCCCTGGAAGTGTTAAAAAACCCACGTGGATGTGGCCCTTGGGGACAGGGTTTTAGTGCTGATGTGGGACAATGTTTGCACTCGATCTCAGAGACCTTTTTCAACCCGAACTGTTCCACAGCTCCGGGGTTTTGGTGCAGGGAGGGGGTGTCTGTGCAGCCCAGGGGTTGTTGGACTGGTCTGGCTGGAGGTTTAACCCCCTTTGGAGCTCTGTGACCTGCCTGGGGGCTGCTGGCCCCGTGTCCCCGTCTCCAGTTTCACCCTGGGCCACTGGAGCTCGTGTCGGGTGACAGGGACAGGGACAGCACAGGGACACCCGTGGCCTGGGTTGTGACCCTGCTCCTACTTAACAGTCCCTTTAATTAAGGTGTTGGGAGCAGCTGGCAGGGACAGGGAGCTGTGGAATGTGATCCCTGGCAGCCACAGGGCTGGGAAAAGGGGACAGCAGCTCCTGGATGCCTGGTTTAAAAACCTCCAAGAGCTTCCTTTGGGAATGCTGGGGGTGGGATGCTGCTGCCCCATCCCTGGGAGTGTCCAAGGCCAGGTTGGAGCAACCTGGAATAGTGGAAGGTGTCCCTGCCCATGGCTGGGGGTGGGACTGGATGAGCTTTAAGGTCCCTTCCCACCCAAACCAGTCCATGATCCTGCAGAAGAACAGGGAATTCTGCAAATTAAGGTGTATTTTGTTTGAAATTCCAGACCCAGCAGTGGCAGCTGTTCACAAGTTCAGGCAGGGGGGGCTTGTGGCCACCTCTGGGTGCCAGTGGTCACTCTGTCCCACCTCTCTGTGCATCCCCAGCTCCTGGAGGGCACTGGTACCAGTGGAACAATGTGCTGGTGCCACTGGTGTTCCCTCTTAGTGCCCCATCCCAGCTCTGAGAAGTCGGCCTGGGGTGTCCACCTGGATTTTGAGAGCGCCAGACCCATCCCTAAATGTCCCTAAATGTCCCTAAATGTCCCTAAATGTCCCTGAATGTCCCCTCTTGCCCCTGGTGCTGCCATGAGGTGCCACCTCCTCTCCTCTCTTGCAGGGACCTTCAGCCTGTGGTGCCACCCCAAGTTCGAGGACCGCTGCCAGTCGGTGGTGGAGTTCATCAAGAGGGCCATCATGCACTCCAAAAACGGGAAGTTCCTCTACTTCCTGCGCTCCAGGGTCCCAGGTGAGGGCTTTGCTCCGGGATCAGCTGCTCCTCTGCCCCACAGAGTGGGTTTGGTGTGACTTTGGGCTGTGCTCAGTGTCCTGCTCCCCATCCTTGCCCACCCTGAGGAGCAGATTTCTATCCTGAGGGTGAGGAGACTTCCCAAACCTTCCTCCCCAGGAGTTTGGGATCATGATCCCACTTCCTGCTGGCAGAAGCCCGAGCCTGGAAGCTGCTCCCTCAACAAGCAATTATTTGGCTACTAAAAACTACTAAACCCCCCCTTCCCTCTCTCCCCCCAGTCTCAAACCACCCCGTGCTTTGTGGCTTCCCAGTTTTCCCTTGGCTGGGACCAACCCAGGGATGTGGGAGGGATTCCAGGGCTGAGCTCAGAGGGAGCCTCAGGTGATGATTCCGTGGATTTGGAGTCCCTGGAGGGCCCATCCACAGGCAGGGGCTTGCAATCCAGGAGGGAATGTTGTGGCTCTGTTGGAGCACGTTGGGTTGCAGGGCTTGGTTCCAAATCCATCAAACTCCTGGAGGGCTCCCATCCCCATCCTGGGAAATCTGGGCAGGCAACTGGACCTGGATTTATTGTTTCCCTGGGTTTTGCTGCTCTCTGTCCTGTCAGCCAAAAAAAAATCCAGTGGGAGAGGAAGGGAAGAGCCAAGTGGGGAAATGGAGGGAGCAATAGGACTTGGAAAAAGGGGATTTGCCTTGAGCAAAGAGCAGGAATGGGAACGATGGAGAGCAGGGTGAGGGTTGTTGAGGTGAATTTGCAGTAAAATGGTGGTAAATCTGCTCCCTGCCCACACTGGCACCGTTCCTGCAGGCCCTGCTGGGCACAGGGACCTTTCCCTGGCACTGCAGCACCCAGAGGATCCAGCCCAAAGAGCTGCTGTTCCCTGGCCAGCATTCCTGCAGGCTGGAAGCACAGCCTGGAGCTGGTCAGTGTTGCCCTCTGCAGACACCAGCAGCCACTGGAAGCTGATTTAGAACCTGGTCTGGGGGGGGAAGAGGGTTGTGAAGCTGCTTTTGCAGTGACCCTCTGTTCCAAAAATCCTTAAATTCAAGATACTTCACTTCCTGATCCTGGGATCTCTTCCCCCCCCGAGGCTTTGGGGGGCTTAGGAGCCAGGCAAAAACAGCTCAGGGAGGGCTTGATTTGGAAAAATACCATTGAAAAAAAGAAAATATCCCCCCTCAAACGGTGCTGGGCACCTGCTGAGGTGATATTTGCTGCTGGATCCTGCACTCCCCTGGATCCAGGGCTGGATCCAGGAGAGCCTTGATACAAAACAAGCCTCAGGGTGATCCTGTAGTGGGAGAATATTTGGGATCTTCCCAGTGAGCTCCTTAGGGCTGTTTTTCCTGCTGGAAGGTGACCTGGCTTCTGGGAGGGAGGGGTGAGGGGTTTTGGAGGGAAGGGTTTTGGAAGGAGGGGTTTTGGAGGGGGGATTTTGGAGAGAGGGGTTTTGGAGGGGGGGT